TGTTGGGATTACAGGTGTGAGCCACAGCACCCTAATGAAAGACAAATTATTAAATGTGTCTTGGGTTACTTTTCTATGAAATAAAATGAATCAAAGTTTCTACGTATTTTCTGTCTTAATAATGTAGATATACTGTCTCCTATGTGCCAGGTACCATTCTAATGCTGTACAAATACAAATAGTAACTAGTACACAGGTACTTAATTCCCCTACTCAAAGCCTCATTTTATTTACAGACCTGATGCTATATGAGACACGGATATTCCCAGAAACTGAGCACCTCTCCAGATGTGGTAGCAAAAGGCAATGTGTATGTGTGTGTGTGTGTGTGTGTGTATGTGTGTGTGTACGTGTGCGTGTTTACGTAGTATAAGAAAACTCTGATCATGGATGCACAAGGACTATATAACATACTTTGTTGTGGTTGTTTCATTGCTCAAACTTTGGAACCAACTATGTCTGAGTTCCAATTCTAAGCTTTACCTGTTACCAGCCATAGGATGCTTACAGATTAGTAGACTCAGTCCCTCCCTATGTAAAGGAGATAATCATTTTTTTCAAAAAAATATGTGAGGTATTATGAATCAAATGCAAGTAAAGTATCACCATGGCTAGCACATAGAGCTTAGAACAATATATCTATAAATGCTGACATATAAAAATATCATGAAATTCTGTTCTTCTCTGGAGAGAGCCTTCAGAGTACTGTTTTTTACAAGATATAGACAAAGAAAATGTGAAAGAAGCAGCATGTGTTTCTATGAGATATTGAGTCCTCCTTACCACATTTAAGAACAAACTTCATTACATTGGGGGACCCATTTTTATCATAGATTGCTGAGGTATTACCTCTTGATAATTAAAATTAAAATTTCAAAATAATAATTGGAAATGAGTAGAAATCACAACTTAAGCTTTGATATTGCAGTGGCTGCTATCAGCAAGGCTCCTTTAATCTGGGTGCCAATTTCTCTGGTAATTAAGTTCCTTGAAGAAAATAAAATAATCTTTTAATTTTAATCTTATTAGAATAATAGAACTTTTGCCATGAAAAATTAGGAGGATGTTCCATTTATAAATTAATATTGTGATGAAGAATTTTCACAGGAGTTTTCTGAAAGGCTTTCTTGTTCTGCCATTTCGAATAACTGAGGATATTTTAAAAGAGACTTTCTCTGGATGTGTGATTATTTAGGAATGGATTTGGGGACAGGACAAATATCATGTTGATGTCTTTGAGATCCATGTCCCAAAACTGTATTTCATAGCAGGGTTTGTGAAATTATAAAGGCCAAAATCAAAATCATGCAGTCTTATAGTTAGTCAACAATAATCCCTATTTTGTACTTTGAAATGCTATGGTGGAGATATGGTCTTCCATGTATCGCTTCTGTTGGTACAAAAGGACCAACTTGAGATGGAACTATTTCAGTAAACACTGCTGCTTGGCTGACAGCTAACTTCAAGAATAAGCCTTTACATGCACATAGTAATTTTGTACTACAAGAGATTTTATTTGTGGTGTCCTTCAGAATATTCAAAAGATAAGAAATAAAATAATTATTGTTTTCCCAACTTTTATATGGAGAGGAAAAATAAGACTCTGGGATTAAATGATTTACTAAAGATATTCTTGTCAGAAACAGAACTTGGACTTAAATCATGCTTTTTTCTTTTTACAGTGAGGAGCTATCTTACAAAATTACCTATAAGCACCAAAAAGTAGACCCTAATGAAAGAATTTGGTTGCATATGATTCATTTGACATTGGTCCAATAAATGCCATAGGGGAGAGGGGAAGTGAGACAAGCTGGGATGGAAAGCCACAAAAAGGTTATTTAATAAGGAGACTGCTACTATGGGCAACTGAGTTCAAGCCCACTGGAGTCTCTCTGAGAAACTCTAGTAACCAGTGCCCCTTCCACACATAGTGTCTGGCCTGTTCCTCTTTCTACATCATTGGAAGCCATTGCAATGTATGGGAGTTTTCTGCAGGTGACAACCAGGGCGGACTGAAGAGATATACTTCATTTCATAACTTGATAACAGAGCAAGATCAATTACAAATGAGTTTGGGATGATGCAGATTTCCAGGAAGATCTACTGATGCTAAATTAAAATTAACAAGACAATTTTATCTACTGAACTTAATCCTTACCCTTAGAATTAGTCATATTGTACATTACTATTTATAGCTGAGAAACCATAGTCAGCAACTTCTGTGCTATTTTTGTGGCTTTTTTGTTTCATCATTTACTTGGCCATCTATGAAACCCAGAATGCCAGATTCCTGGTCATGATCACTCCCTCAGATTCATTCACTTATTCATTCACACCTATTATGTACCAGACACTGCTTTAACTGTGGGGTTTTTAGTAGAGACTAAAACAGATAAAACAGACCTTATAATCAAGTGACAGAAGACAGAAAATGAATAAGTATGCTAGTAAGTGAACATATAATAAATCTGTTAATCAGGGACGCTATGAAGAAAACTAAAGCTCCGAAAGGAAGGGATGTTGGAAGGGAGAGGGAAATGATAAAAGACTAGCTAGGAACGACCTCTCTGTTAAGATGACATTTGCACAGACCTGATGTGAGGGAACAAAACCATGCAGATAATTCACACAAGACATTCCAGATGGTTCACACGACACCTGTTAATTCCCCAAAAGGACTTTAACCAGCACTTCCTGTGAGTTCAAAAAGAACAGAAAGCTGTTAGAGAGAATGGTGTGATCCTAATTATACATTAAAAAGATAATACTATTTTGTGGGGAAAGTAGACTGTTAGTGCAAAGAGTGCAATCAGAGAAACCATTAGGGGCTATTGAAGTACTCTGTATTCATCTGCTGATGGACACTTAGGTTGCTTCCAAATCTTAGCCATGGTAAATAGTGCTGCAAAAAAACACAGGAGTGCAGACATCTCTTTGATATACTTATTTCCAGCAGTTGGATTGCTGGATCATATGGTAGACCAAAGATGTTAGTGAGTTCATGTGGCTGTTTGCCTTATTACATATTTATACTATGCATGCTATTTATACATATATTCACTTGTATTCTGTATTTTATAATTTGGAAAGCCTTTTGCATTAATTACTTTAGAGCAGGGATTTTATATTGGCTTTGATTGAAATAAAATGTGCTCAGTGGCTGGGCGTGGTGGCTCGTGCCTGTAATCTCAGCACTTTGGGAGGCAGAGGAGGGTGGAACACTTGAGGTCAGGAGTTCAGGACCAGAATGACAAACATGTTAAAACCATGTCTCTAATAAAAACACAAAATTAACTGGGCATAGCGCACGCCTGTAATCCCAGGTACTTGGAAGACTGAGGCAGGAGAATCACTTGAACTCAGGAGGTGGAGGTTGCAGTGAACCAAGATCACACCGTTGCACTCCAGCCTGGACAACAAGAGTGAAATTTCATCTCAAAAAAAAAAAAAAATACTCATTACATATTACTAAATTAAATTTTGAAAATCCTATAAAAGCACCTGAGGGGTGATTATTAGTAATAATACTATGATACGAGTAACTACTACAGACATGTGAGTATCTTCTAAGCTCCAACAGGCCTAATGCTTTTCTTTAAAATAGTTTTTCTATTTCTTAGTGTAAATCAACTAGTAATGTGTGATTTTCCCATAAAGGACCACATGTAGTAAATAGTCTAGGCTTTATGAACTATTGAATTTCTGGTGCAGCCGGCTCTTGCTGTAGACCACATGGTATGTAAATAAATGTACTTGGCTTAACATTTAGATGGGCACTAACATTTAAATTGTATATAACTTTCACGTGTTACTAAACATTATTCTTCTTTTGATTTCTTTTCAACCATTTAGAAAAGTAAAAACTATTCTTAGCTCGCAGATTATAGAAAAACAGGTGGCAGCAAGCCAGATTTCAGCCACAAACAGTTTTTTCAGATTCCTGGTATAAATTATCAGGAGCTTGGAGCCCTGATCTGTGCATCATTGATTTGCTCTCATTCTATTTTTGGGTGCCTTTATTTGCCAGAGTTCTCTTTCTTTGTGAAACTGAAGCATGTTCTCATGTAACTTCTACCTGTGGATTCTACATTTTGCATCTGAAGAATAGCACAAAATACCTCCCACCCCCCACCTTGTCATAACACAGGCCTTCACAAAGTCAAAGAAAGCCACCCTGGCCTTCTTGGCTTTCTCTGCCACTGAGTGTTAAACTCTCTCCAGATGCTTATGTTTCATGGCTGTTCTTGTTTTGCTTTTTAATTTTCTGATTGTTCTTCATAAAATGAACACAAACTAGACAAAAGCTTTAAGCTACCGTCCACCTAATAAACAATTCGATAGAATTTTGGTTTCCAAAGATTTTTCTATCAGGCAACAATGAAGTGTCATTGTTGAGGATATGCATTCTTGGTTTATTTTGCTGGGGTTTTTTATATCATGTATTCCATTATAAAGATAACGTATTTGTAAATGATCAAATAATCCTATTATTATTTTCTGTGACCATTAGTGGTCAGTTAGTATGTATAACTGCAAGTGCACATTTATTATTTAGTCCTTAGTTTCTATACTCACCAAATGTGTTTATTGAGAAAAACTATACAGAAAAATAAAGATTTTAAAAACAAAGACTTGAGATAAAAGCCATAAATTTATTTTGTTGTTTGAAAATGAGATCTAGCAAAGCTAAACAGAAAATAAATTACTAAGTTAGAATGGTTCGTAATCACCATCTAAATGATTTTTTTCAACCCAATGGTATTAATACTGCTTCCCTACTTGTTTGGGTTATATTATGCCTTATTCAGTTAGATGGAATATAGAACCACTTAGGATGTTAAAGAAACATGAGATACCAGTTTGGATTGTGAGCAGCTCTGTATTTTACTAGAGAAAAATACTTTTATTTATAAAATTCTGATTTTGTTGATAGTGGAATTGTGTTCAACCGGGTAATTTAAAAAAAAAAAAAGAAATGACTTTTATCTTGTACTTACCAGGTTCTGGGTTGAATGATGGGCAGTGGCACGAGGTTCGCTTCCTGGCCAAGGAAAATTTTGCTATCCTCACCATCGATGGAGATGAAGCATCAGCAGTTCGAACTAATAGTCCCCTTCAAGTTAAAACTGGCGAGAAGTACTTTTTTGGAGGTAAGAATACCGTTGTTTTTTGGTTACTAATCCATTGCAAAAAAAAAAATAAGATTTGAAGATTAAGTTTGATTATGAAGAATTTGTATTTGACTTAATGAAGTCAGTAGATCTCAGGATAAAACAAACCCTGTAATTCCACTGAGTAAAAAAAAAAAAATGAAAAAATTTGTTTCATCCTGTAAACATATTAAGGTGATGTCACTGTATTCTTCTGGCCCAATTTAAATCATTGAAGTATAACAAAGGGATTCTAAATTCATCCTCACAATCCTCAAAAGTCAGATCCTTGGATTATTTACGAGTCACCAATGGCTATGTAACTAGTTATCCAAACCTTAGCGTCTTCAAACAAACAATTGTTACCTAGCAGTTTCTCTGGATCAGGAATTCAGGAGTAATTTAGCTTAGTGAGTCTCTGATGAGGTTGACCTCAAACTGTTGGCTGTGGCTGCATTATTTGAGCCTTAATGAGCTACAGCATCTGCTTCCAACAAGTCTCACTTACATGGCTGATGGTGCTGGCTGGGATGCCTCAGTTCTCCTCCATGTGGCCTCTGATTCTGTAATACCTTTCTTCTTCAAGCAAACTTTCTCTCCTCAAGGTGACTGGGCAGAGAAAGAGAAAACAGAAGAAAGAGAGGAGGGGAGGGGAAAGCCAGTTAGTAAGAAAGTTCTCAAGATAAAAACCATAAATATTCTTTAAAAAATAACCCAGGGCCGGGCGTGGTGGCTCAAGCCTGTAATCCTAGCACTTTGGGAGGCCGAGGCGGGTGGATCACGAGGGCAAGAGATCGAGACCATCCTGGTCAACATGGTGAAACCCCGTCTCTACTAAAAATACAAAAAATTAGCTGGGCATGGTGGCACGTGCCTGTAATCCCAGCTACTCAGGAGGCTGAGGCAGGAGAATTGCCTGAACCCAGGAGACGGAGGTTGCAGTGAGCCGAGATCGCACCATTGCACTCCAGCCTGGGTAACAAGAGCAAAACTCCGTCTCAAAAAAAATAATAATAATAATAATTAAAAAAAAATAATAATCCAATTTGGCAATGATATCCCATCACTACCATTATTTACAGCTTGTTAGAAGTGAGTCACTAAATGCCGTCCACAGTTAAAGGAAGGTGACTTTACAAGGGCTTGACTACCATGAGCCATTGATTCCTGGGGACCATTTTAAAGGCACCTACCACAGTCTACCTTATAAGAGAAGCCATGTTGTCACAAGCATCTTGGTTCTTAAGCAATGAAAAGATTAGTAAAAGTTAAAAATACCTTAAGATAAATTCTTTGTGTGAAAAAGTTGTAGCAAAGACCTGTCATATTTTCTAATTGAAAAAATGTGTCCTGCCAGAAAATGATTTTTTAGTAACTAATGAATTATGAGGACACATTTCATTAAAGTGCTAGGTGCATTGTTTATATCAATATAGTTTTCATTAGATTATTGTCTTTTCTGTCCTATATCATACAATGTGAGATGGAAAAAAACACATTCTAGGAAAGGTTTTCTTTAAGCTTTAAAATCTGTATGTTACATACGTTGCCTCTGAAAATGTTTCTATTTGCATTCACATATATAAATATATATTTATATATCATTGTGTGTCTCTGCGTGTATGTGTGTGTGTGTGTTTGTGTATGTGTGTATTCTAGTTCTTAGAGTAAGGTGACATGAGAGCAGCCACGCTGTTTTTATCTCGTATCCAGTTATATTCCTCAAGGTCCTAGAAAAAAATTTGGAATGTTGTAGATGAACAATAAATATTTTTGAAAGAATTAGTAAATTCTATAAAATAGGCAAGGCATCATTTTATTATTAATTTTCTAGAGAGGAAACGTAAGTCCTAGGAGATTTATTGGCTTGCCACTGAGTTTGCAGCTAGCACCTAGATTTAAATTTTCTGAGCCCTGTACCAGGGCATTTCTCTACATCTAATTAGGGACTACTTAGAGACAAAAGTCATGAACGAGGGCTCTGCCTCTTTAATCTTCCATAATATTTGTTGAAAGTTAAGACTTCATGATTCTAAAAAGACCCTCAATAAATATTTGATGAATAGATGAAAATCCGACAAGATGTCTTATGAGTGAATGAACTGGACATATTAATGTGAGAAAAACCACTCGATAGCCAAACTGATTACCCTCCAAAAAATATGCAATATGATTGGCTATAGCCAACAGTTTTTATTGCTATGATAGTAAATGGATCACAATTGTCAGTTGGAAAGCTACTAATAATCTCTACTCCTCCCTTGACTGGAGTATTTTGGCTGTAGATGAGCTCCCTGAATGCTTACGGCCAATTTTTATCGATTTCAATCTAGAGGGGCAAGCAAATAGCTGTAACCACATTCGTGGCATAAAGTTGATAGGATATGATGTCTTTAGGGTGTTCCATTTACTATTGCTTTACAGATTTTGGGTTTCAAACCCAGCAGTCAGGAGAATATTGACTTTCTCTTGGGTCTGTCGTCTGCCCTTAGGATATACTGTCAGCTAATGATCATGATGCTTGTTTTGTTATGTTGTCATCGGCTGAATCCTCAGGGTGTGTAAGAAGCATCAGAAGAACTGATTCCCATTCAGCCTCTCAGGTCCCACCTCTAGAACTTTGAAATTCAAGAGGGTGAGAAACTGAGGCATGCAAAACTTCAAGTGATTCTGATAAACACAATCTGAGAAACAGAATTATAGATCGACCTTAGCCAATCTTCACACATACCTTTTAGATTCTTTTTGTAAAACCTCATCAGTCACTGGAAAGTTTGAGATGCATGAGACAGCTGCTCTCCTATAGCTTTGCCTCTAGGGAACAAAGGAAAGGAAGTCACAGGACAAGCTATGACGCACAAAAACACATTTATTAAAGGAACAGGTATTACCGAGAAAGCACAACACTGTTAATATAAATGAACGTTCTTCTGCAAGCTCAGTGAGGTCCCAGCTCTCTGACTTCCTGCACCTTGAATAAAATGTTCTCCAGAAGCAGCATTGCTGAATAGTGGGATTCAACTACACCCCGAGCTAGTGCCAGGAGACAGAAAGCTTCCTCAGCAAATGGCTGGCACAGGATCACTAAGTGATCCTGACTCCAGAACCATTTCTAAGAACTCAGGTTACAGGCCTCACCAGAATCTTTTACTATCTTTGCACAAGGCTGAGAGTGTCTCCAAAATACCCTTAGAGCCTTTAAATTCACTATAGAGATTTCCTTTGTAACATGTAGTTAACATTTATGCCATCTGACAGACCACTAATTTCACCAAAGAAAATCCGGTTTGGCATGCAACTCATTAGAGGACTTGTTGATTCAGTAAATTAGGTTGATGTGAGGAATAAATAGCAAAAATCTAAGGGTGGCTCCCTCTGGGGTGGCTGCACTGTTTCTGCACTAAAATTCCTGATCACCTCTGACTTGTGTCTTTCTGATCAGAAGAGGAGCTGCTTCTGGATTGCAGCTATAACTAAAACACATATTCACACGACTCTATGCCATCTGTGCTGAAAATTTTAAAGTAGGATTCAAATGTTATAATAAACACATCTTAAGAAATAGCGTAGTAGAAAGGAGAATTGACTGTTTTAAAACACAAGCGTTGGAATCCAGCATACCTGATTTTGGAATCTGGCTTTATCACTTAATTAATGAATTCTTTAATACTTTATCTGACTTTCTTTATCTATTAAATGGCCATAGAATCTGTTTTCTGAACACTGTGGCATAAACTGACACCTGGGGTTGGCCCCTAGGGAGGGCTAAATGCTGACTGCCTTTCCAGTGCATCTTGAATCTTTAACTCTGTAAGGCACAGAGCCTTCCAAGGAATATTGGAGACATCAGATCATTATTCATTTAACGGCCTCTCATCAACTTCTGCACTACTCAAAGTATTTCTTCCCCAACACTCACGGAAGAAAAAAAGAAGTATTTTTCATGCTCACTGAATCAAGACTCAAGTAAAGGCTTTCCTGACGTCCTGTACTCAGTTTTGTTTGCAAATCCTTAAACATGTTCACATTTTGTTTCTTTTGAAGTTAGGTCCCAGTTGTGTGCCTTTCTTTGCAGCCCTAGCTGGGCCACTTCACACCAGTGTGCATTTTTATCTCTGTGCTTGCTCCCTGCTAATCCCGGCAAAGGCCTTCATTCTCCTTTGTAACACCCATGATCAGATGATGTTTAATCACCAAGAATTATTTTGCCTTGTTTTGTTGTTGTTGTTGTTTGCTTGTTTTTTCTTGAGAATAAGCAGACAAAGAAACGGATTCATCCTTTGGGATGTTTCTTCAGCAAAGCATATTTTAACTGCTTTAACATGTTTTATCTTCCTCCAAGTAGAATTTCTCTAGATAATACCGCATTAATGTTAATAATCAAAAGAATGTTAAACACAATAATTAAATTTACATATTGACTGTTTCCATGGTAATAGGCTTTCTGATACAGGCCGGAACCCATGGTTATAAGAGAGCAGTAAGATTTTTAAATTTCTAACTTTTCATTGTTTTGGGCATTTTTATTATCTCTTTTGTTTTCGTTAAAAGAGAAAGGAGCTGTGGGCTGGAGAGGAGAGATAAGAAGTTTCTAGAACCAGTCTTATTGGAAGGGAAGTTCTAAAGAACCCAGTGGGGAAGGAGACGGGTCTTAGGAAGGTACCAAAGCAAGTGGTGAAGGCAAGTGAAAAACAGGGCAGTGAGGCCAGCCTGAGTTTGATGGGATTCCTGATAATAAAGTTTAATAAGAGGGCTCATCCCTTTCCAGCTCACCAGCATAAAATTGTCTTGTTCAGTTTTGGCTATTGTAACAGAATACTATAGGCTGAGGGGTCTAAACAACAGAAAGATATTTCTCATGCTTTTTGAGGTTGGGAAGTCCAAGACCAAGGTATCAAGGTACAGACAGATTTGAAACCTGGTGAGGGCACATAATGAGAAGCTGCAGATAGCCATTTCCTTAGTGCATGTTCTCATCAGAGAAAAACAGAAACAGAGGG